ATCCTTCAGTCACTTTGCTGTTACTCAACATACAAATTAATCTCTCGTACCTACTTTGGGGATTGATAAGTCTTTAATCTATTATCGACTTTTTGATAATCTATTATCAACGATACATGCTATTTATTAGAGAACCATGTAGTCAAAGATAATAGAATATCAGTATCAATAATGATATTAATCCCTTCAGATCCTGCGTACATGTAATGTACATTAAATTTAGATATCTGTTGAAATTATTTAATTCTATCGACATCATCTGAGATCCGATGTACATAATAAATGTATATGTTGAAAATATAGTCAAAATTTTGAAAAAAAAATTAATTTGTTTAGTATGAATTACTTAAATGTGTTCATAAATTAAATTTAAAAAAATTTGTCAACATGATTCCAATAAAATCAGGTTTAAAGGGATTATTAAATTTTAAATATTTTAGATATTCACAGTCATTGTAAAGTTTTCATAAGAGAATGTAAGATAAAATCTGCTTTTGTTGTGTTTTTGCTTCCGAAGGAAAAATTTCGTAATGTGAAGCTGAGTGTCGAGCGTGACAGGGAGGAGCGTCACGGGACGATCTCGAGCGGCGTGCGTGAGTTAAGATCGCGTATACTGTTAATAAATAATGCAGTAATGGGCGTTCGGGTTGAAGAGGTAGCCGGTAAATGCGGCGGAACGGAGAAAGCCGCATTATTTACGCCCGCTGGCGGCTGGCTGGCGGTGACAAGTTTAAAAAAGCCGCGGGAAGTAATAACCGAGGTGTCCGCGGATTAAAAGGCGTGACACTGCTAGTTCCAGCGATCACTCTTCCCCGCAACGATGTAATTAAATCCTACAACATACGTATGTACGTTTGTCTACTCTTTACGACCATTCCGCCCCGCGTCTTTGCTCTCCGTTGCTGATTGCGTCATGTGTATAATGTTATGCTAACGGCGACGATCGGGCCGCGACAATCAAGCCTCGAAAACCAACAGTTACTGAACGTTTGAGTCCTTGACGTGTGAAATTCACATGGTCACTCTTAACGGGACTTTTCGCGAGTCCAAAACGCGAATTTTCTGATATATACATGGTTTAGCCTCGAGCTTATAATATAACGATTGTATAGACTTATATTAGCTGTCGTAAACATGTTCCAGTCTGAATGATGCTTGTCTCGAAGTTGAATCACCGATAATTGAAGCGTGGATTGAAACAGTTCTATATAACCGATAACTACAATAATTTGAAAGTTTCGAACGAACTAGAGAACGTTATAAATCGAAAACATTTCCTACTAATTTCGCTGAAGTATTACAGCTAGATATTAATAGCTTATAATCTTTTATATTTAAATTGTGACTTATAAACGTGCAGTTTTCGATTAAAAAGATTGTCATTAAAGTAATAAAAAAGATATATCATGAATACATGAATTGAGGTTGGAAAATGAAAGAGGGAACTAAGATAGTAAGATACAGAGTATTGAGAGAAGCATATATTATCTTTTAAAATTAGTCTACTTCGAAATTACTATCTCTCTTGTATTTCTTGGACAACTTGTAGGAAATTCCTCGCAAGTAAAAGGGGAAAAAGGAAAAACGCTCGTGGAGGAAACGAGCGCGCGGCTCCTCGTTAGCGAATCGCGACTTAATGTCTCACTTGACGAGCGAAAGCATTGATAGCAGCGCAATTAGACGCGTAAATTGTACGCGTCTGCTCGTCGTTGCTAGTTGGGCGCGCGCAGCGAGGCGGTCCTATCTGTCCATAAAATGACAATGTACTCCGATGCGAGAGGGCATAGTTACGTACATGGTAAAACGTTTAGATCCGCGCCGTGAGATAACCTTCGTCGTAGCTTACCGAGCGCGTCGCCGGTCGGTTCTCTCTCTCTCTCTTTTTCACCCGCGGCTATTCCCGCGTGCCCGATGTACGCCCGCGTACGGATGTGGCTATACGCACCATGCGCTCGTTCCTCCGTGCGTACACGCACCGGAATACGCATCCGCGAATCGCTGTTCCTGCGGCGTGCTAGGCGTAGCGACGACTTCGCCCCGCTGGGTATAATACTCTAGACGGAAACAGATGGCAAGGATATTTTATTATTCTCACTCAGATACTGCAATAAGAAAAAGATGACTAAAAATTTATTTGTGAGAAATATATTTATTTCACTGAAATAAACGTTTATTTAAATACGAACGAAATAAAATTTTATTCCTGGTAAATAAGCCGTCTATTTTATTTTTTTGCAATTAATTTTAATGAGATATATTTCACAGAAATGTATATTTCGTCGTCACAATCAAATTTCGTAAGTAACATTTGCTTCACAATACTTGGACATTTTTCTCTCATTGTCAGTGTGAGAATTTTGCTGAAAAGGATAAAACATGTACATTTTTAAGTAAAATGAAAACTTGCCGTTTAAAACCGCAAAGGTATATCTAATCGCATGGTAAACGGTTGATAAATTTAAAATGCGTTGGTAATGTAATAATACGGGTATAATCTTGTCTTTGGCGATTGTCACATCCGACTAAACGCAACATCGAACGGTCGAATGGCAATGCAGGACGAGACCTGAAAAATGATCGTTGCTTTAACGACTCATTTCCCTTCGCGCCGCGATAAAACGGCTCGCTTTCATCGGGCATGTACCTCACGTGCAACGTCCTCGGCGCCGTCGTTTCCTGTTTCCTTCCTTATCTCCGCCGGCAGAAACAGGAAAATCCACGAAAGCCCATACGTTATCTGCCACGTACGGTCAGGGTTCGCACACAGTACCCAAGAGAGACGAGATATCAGCCGCAATGCACACCGCAACACATACAATCCGCCCGTTGCGGAAACGCCGAATGAATTATTTCGCAGCTGCGCACGATCGCCAGAATTATTTCGCTTGTAGAGATTCATTGTCGTAGACCATGATGCATCCTCCGGAGAGATCTCAGGCTATGTTTTTAACGAAATTTATAAGGGAAACTGTTTTAATAAATCATAATTCTAAAATATCCATAATTAAATTATATTTCTTGCTGTTTATCTATGATTAAATTGGAATTTTTTTGAAAAAATTGTATGCATACAGGTTACATAAATTAATGAATTTAGAAAATACTAGTTGCTGCCAATAAACGGTTTTAAAGAGTGAAATCATTATCTAAAACAATATTTTTTATTTATTTTCATTATATCTCAAAAACATTCAAAATATTAAAAAATGTTTTATAACAATTTTGTAATAGAATTACCTCTAATTATTTATATATATATATGTCAATAACATTTTTAAAAATAAATTTTGAAAACATGAATTTTAAAAATAATAAATTTTTTTTAATTCATTAAAATTAGAATTTTACACTTTGCGAAGTTTCTTCATTAGTCTTAAAATTCTGTAAGTTAAGGTTTATTTGAAAAATTAAACAGAAATTTTTAAATTTATTTTTATTTACAATACTTAACACAATTTTTCATTTCCAACTACTTTGAAGCTATATCTTAACAATGTTCGTTATAGAAATTTATATTTGTTAAGGAAAAAAAAATGACATTAAGTCAAATAACACATCTACTTTAGAATCATTTTGTACATCAATATTACGGACTATGGAGGATATTACAGTAATATGCCACAGGCAATACGTTTCCAGGAGTTTAACGTAACGGCGAACCTGACCGTCATGATATTCTCATGATATTCGACTTATCGACTCTCTTCATCTTGTGCGATTATAAAGTAGCTGCTCCATATAACGCAACGTAATGGGTTAATCAAGTTTCGCTCAGAGGCCTTGCTTCCGACTGATGTACGATGTCATTACGCTCATAAATCTTCAAGTCTCGCGAAAGAGAGAGAAATAGAGGAGAGAGACAGAGAGGGAGGAAAAGAGGGATCAAGTGTGACGAAAACAATGTTTTCTTCACCGTGTTATCCGTCGTGCAGGGAATTTTAATTCGCGTTAACGTGACGAAACGGTCGTGTAAAAGACTCGCGTACGTGTCGCGCGAGCCGCCGATGCCCTGGCCAAACTGATGAGATGGCAGTGCGTTTACGTGCTAGATACGACGGCAGATCCGGCCGTGCTCATCCTGTAAACTAGGAAATTATTCAAATTAGCTACGCAGGATTCAAAGCGAGTCGTCTTAGCAACAAGGACAACTGAAAGGGTTGCTCCGTTCTTTGTTTTTCTGCAGCCTCCGTTTTTCGCGATGCAGCGCGTACATCTGTTTGCGCGACGCGACGCTTTTCCATCTCCCTATGTCAATCGCATGTCAATCGACGTTTTTCTTCGAGAAAAAGTGCGATGTTCTGTTCACACGCGACGAATGCGAAATGCAGTCATGGATGGATTGCGTGAGCCACATGCCTGATTTGATTTTCTTCTTTTACGGATGATTTACGTTTGAGATTAATCTTTGGAACAGTTGTTAGATTCTGTTATTTATGATTATTTATGCACAGATAGAAATGTGAATAAGCTATTAAAGTTCAGATTTGGTTAATTTACGGTTATTATCAAGTTATTACCAAAGTTATTACCAAACTATGCGAGCAGATGTAGCAGCAAGCAAAATATTGCATACTGAATACTGATGCAAAGTCGCTAATAAAAGTGGCGAATAAAAAATATTATTATTATGCAAATTTTATCTGCTTGATTTTTAAAAAAATCGTTAATTGCAGTACAAGCGTAAATGACATATTTTATTCTTGTTTAATTCGATGAACAACAAGGATAAAATGATCCATCATACGGAACGCAGCTTCTGATAGAATCATTATGCCTGAAATTGCGTTTGCCCCATGTATTAATGGATACATTAATTATGTAATTTCCGCTGCACTTTGTTGTTACACATTTTTAGCTTTGCGTTTTGCTCCTCACATGATAATATGTTGTGCAAAACACGAGGTGTGAATTGCCAAGATGATTGCTTAATCGATAATCGCGTGAGAATCTGTCACATCAATATTATCGTCACACGTGTATTTTTTCTCTTTCTGTTGCAGAACCGAGTCACTGGTACCCAAAGTCAACAAGTGAGTAGAACGTGTATCGAGCGTGAGTACCTCTCGTTCGCGCGTATTATAATTACAAACTCGCGGAGAGCAGTTTCGCAGTTAATGCTCGTTTCACGTGAGATTTATGCGTCTCTCGTTCGGCTCCGCACGCGTATACGCGGGCATGCATAAAATTGTGCGTGTGCGCGAGAGCGCACGTAACTCCGCCGACCAAGGTGATTCTTAATTAGATTCTAAATTACGCGGCAAAACGAGACGAAAACGCTTAAATCGTACCTTGGGATAAAGCCTGCACTTTCGAGAGGCGTGTTTCCACGGAAATGAATGCCGTTGCGCACGTTCTGGAACGATTGATTGATTGAGTCGCTCGTGACGAAGACGCGGGGGAAAAGAAAGCGTACGCGTAATGCGCGGTTTCCGGCGATTTTCCTGCATTAACGCATGCATGCGACGATTAAGGATTTCGATAATAATTGGGACAAATAGGGGGACTTGGTAAATTTAAGTACATCCCTGTAAGAGGTATCATGTAGAAATTACAAGTGAGATGCTAATCACGATGGTATATATAGGGTGCTACGCTCCCTTAATAGTCACGCAATCTCGTATGACGAAGAAGGCATGGTCGAAGAAAAAAAATGATAAAGAAGGAAGATTTAGAATGAGAGAGCAAATCTAGATTATTTCAAACTTATACATTATTTATCTGCTAGTACTTCCAGTATGCATATTTTTCTTTTATAAATTTCTTTAGTAAATTGAATCTCTGACTAAGGCGATAATATGAAGCAAGTGTAAAAAGAGGATCAGTAATCGAAAAATTAATTCTCCGTCAGTAATGTTGGACTTTAAAGGCACAGTCGATTTTTTTTATTATAAATTCTGATAAATTTAAATCTATAAAAAATAATAAAATACAATCCAATTTTTATGATAGTAAAAACTTATTAAAACTTTTACAAATATGTGTATGTAAGAATTTTTTATATGCAGTTCAGAACGATTTAAAAATCTGCATTGAAGTTCGAGGATTCAGATTGCAGTTGAAAAGGAAGATGTTAAAGAATTTTTTACTTCATCCAAAAAAGGGCTCATTTTTGTCCAAAAAGGTATAAGTAAATGAAATGTTTTTTTATAGATTTGTACCTTCTGGATACGATAAATTGGAAATACACCACGTTGTGCGTATCCAGGAAGTCAAAATCTACAATCGACAAAAAATACTATTTCTTTTACATTTTTTTTTAGCAGAAATTTACCCCTTTTTAATATCCTCTTTTCACATTGCCGACGAGGATTAAGTATATTTTTGAAATTATGCTATTGAAAATTATGCTACTATTGGAGTATAAACATAGAATGCTCACGGTACCGTAGAATGTCAGACGGGAGTCGGTCGCGTTCAAAGGGCCTGGCATAATTGAGAGATCACGCCAATTAGGTGCGCCTTTAACGGTTTAACTGTCAGGCGGAAGTCGATAGATCCTCGGGCTCTGTATTTGCATTCTGATTATAAACTTGTACAAAGCTAAAGCGTCATCGTATCTCGTTACGTCCTCCGTAATTCCTCGTCGCTTTACACCCGTATTACCGGTGATAAGGTAGAAAAACATAAACGAATTATAATCCACTTGGGAAAGCGTCGTCTCAATTTGCGCGAAGCTTTTTGCCGCTGTACAATTTCATTGATTTCAAACCTCGCTTTCTCGTTTTCCGATCTACATTCCTATTTTGATTATAAATGAGTGCAATGGTGCACGCGACGTTGTCCGAGGAGGAACAGAGATATCTAATTGTAAGACTTAAATGCTACACACCTTCTTCCTTTCTTATTACATTTAACGCGACCTTGTTAATTTTAATAATGTTTATTGAATTGAAATAGAAAAAACAGTATTTAATAACCTGTGTGTGTTTTAATTTTAAGATACTAGTATATTTTATATATCTTAAAACTTATTTTATATAAATATTTCATGCATACATATCTCGTTACATCCCCCGTATCTCTTGTCGCTTTGCGCCCATATTATCGTTAATAAGATGGAAAAACATAAACGAATCATGATCCACTTGGGAAATCATCTCAATTTGCGCGCGTAGTTTTTTGCCGCACAATTTTCATTGATTTCTAATCTCGCCTTCTCATTTATCCATCGGTCTACATTTCTATTTTAATATACTTTATACACATATTTTAAAATAAAACCGAAATTCAAAATCATAAGAGATAAAAATATTAGGTGTAATATTTATAAATGGGTGTCGCCACATTTTAAAATAAATATAAACTTAAAATAGACTCAGAGAAAATATTTGTATAACAAAGTTAAATACCAAAAGCCTAATCTTATACAAATACATCTTACTACAGCAACATTTATTCAGATATCTATATGTAATTATATATAGAGATATATATATAATTAATATGACCAGTAAAGATCATTACATTATGTGAGCCATGAAAAGATAATTTATTGAAGAGTAATAAATACTTTTTCTCGTATGTGTGCAGGTGTCATAAAGTCCGTTTTTTATTCCTGCACTTTCTGAACTGGTGCACATGGTGCAATAAGTTGAAGTGAAATAAATATACGTTTGTTTCACTTTAATACCAGTTCAAAGAGTGCAGGAATAAAAAAACAGACCAATAGTTCAACGACACAGCCCAACTACGTTCTTTCGTTTTAAAAAACATGATATCTAAAGAAAAAAAAAATATTTTTGTCAAGTACAAAATCTTGATAAATTCCTCATTTTATATTAATTGATTGTATATTAATATTAATACATTAATTTTATCAAATTCTAATGCAAACGAGCAAGCATTCATCCTTATTTGCATCACGTTAATGAAAATATTATTCGGTATTGACATCAGCACCTTGACGCGTTATGCGGATTAAAAATAAGAAGGCATTGGACTCATCGTTATGAAGAAATACCGGTGTCACAGCATTGCTGAATGTAAATATAATAAAATCAAATCAATCGTACGGCAATTAACTAGTCTCATATCGAGATTCAAGTTTTTACCCTCACTTTTATTTCTTTAGGTTATAAAATAAAAAAAGAGATAAAAAATATTCTGCGAATGAAACGCGAAGCGTTAGCTTGTCATGACATGAATTTGAATGAAACTTTGTTTCCATAAGATTATTATAAAATGATGATAATGATTTATGACTATATTATAAAATGACGATAATGATTTATGACTATATTATAAAATGACGATAATGATTTATGACTATCGCAAAAAAATTATAAAATACAAGAACTTACAAAATAGCTATAGTATATGTATTTTATTTTTAAATATTGTTTTACTCACTTTTATATATAATAGTAGATATTTCTACAGTATATTCAACTTAATTTAATTGTATAAGTTATACGTAATAATATACATGCGTGTTTTTGAGCAATCGTCGTAAATTCGCAAACATGTCACGTACCTATATTTTAAACTTCAAAGTTATTATTAGCATGAATTTAATATGTACACCCACGCAAAAGCGATCATGATATTTTAATCTTCGGTTTAACATCATGAATCCTGCTATCATAGATTTGCTGTAGCTCATCTTGTACCCTTCTATACTTTATTTGATTTGCAGGACGCGTCTCGTTATAACTCAAATATATCGCGGTGTGTATAGCCAATATTACAAGGCATAGCTAAAAGAGGGAGGTTCGAAAGGAGTGGACGTTGTCGTGAAATAATATTAATTATCGGCGCGACGTTATGACGAGCCAAGGCGAGCTGGCTGTTCTTTCTTAGGAATTCCGGTCCACGTCTAAAGGGAGAGTATCCCGTCTGCAGGATCCGCATTTCCATTCCGATTACAAGCTGCTAGGAACGTATAGTGTTGTACCCTTGCTATTACTCAGGTTCCCTCGTATTATTGCTTCTGATGAGCGGGTCTTTTTCCTAACTCTCTCTCCCTCTCTCT